GACACTGTAAAAAAATAAGACAAAGTGTAAACGAAGGCTAGTAATGAGCTCTTGGGATCAGGGATCAGCATTATTTCTTGGGCTATTTTGGGATCAGGATCAGATGAATTTAACCTGGGATCAAAGGATTTTCAACTGGGATTGGGATCAATGATCATTTCTGGAAGGGGAAATATAGAAAAATATATAGAAAATAGTTTTTCTATGTAAAATGAGAATGACCTTTTATAACACTTTTATAGAAAATACAGCATAAATAATAAACAAAAGACGATAGATTCAAAGACGACATCAGAACTCTCGGTATCGTTTTCAGCGATTTTACTCTGGAACAGGGCCATCGCTGGAACATGGTCAGGCTTTTGAGGTCCGAGCGGCACACTCCCACCCGAGTTGGGGGGAGGTCTTCCCCCGGGCTGACAGCCAATAAATTATACTGATCAATAAACACACAACTATTGAGATCCTCCCCCCGGGCTACAGCCAATCAATAAACACACAAGTATGTCGCGACTGCACAAGGCCATGTCTAGTTTTGCTTGAGTCTAAGAATTTTCGCACGCACTGATAAAAAGTCTTTAATTTTACCAGTATTGAAACAAAAATTACTTCTTTTTTACTTTAATCAAACATTAAAATTCAATCAGAAAATAGAGCATAAATAATAACACAAGAAAATAGATTCAAACACATCATCAAGACGTGCAGACAAACACGCATTTCTCCGCATTTCAAGCAAGTGTGTTTCTATGCAAAAAAAATAAGATGGCAGGTAATCGGAGCACCTTAAGAATGACCTTTACAACTTTCTACAACGAAAACGTTAAGGAATGCATGTTATTATTGATGACACTTCGTTATATTTTCGGTGATCATTTTAGTACATTTACGCTAGGTACACAACTCACCTAATGAAGCTCTACACCAGGAACTTTCGATGATACTAAAGGCAATTAAGACTGATCTTAGATTCTTTAGAAATATTGTATTATTATTCCAAGACAAAATTCTCTTTACTCACCTCCAGCTGTAGATTCCCCGCACTGACGACCCAGTAGTGCCGATATTTTACCTCGTGGTCAAATTATTTACGTCATACACGATTATCATTGGCTAATAATCAATAGTGAGCCAAAGAGCAAATTTGATTCGTCAAGGATGAAAGATGATTGACAGCGAAGTCGAATATTATGGGTTACCAAACTGATCTTAGTAGCGTTTCGGCCTGAGGGGCCGAAACAAAAAAGAATCTCTATTGCATGTTGGAAAACGTTTGTATTCCTTAGTGAGTTTTTCAGGGTTCGTCAGACGGTTGTCGTTGAGCACGCTTCGGTTTGCAGTTTGAAATAATTTTTCTTTGGTATAAAGTTTTGGAAATGTAAGATCTGCACTCTCAAAGTTATCAAGATATGGTATARTGTTGTTGTCTTCATCTTGGTAAAGATCTTTAAAGAATCTATTAGCTACTTTTTCAGCATCTTTGATATTCCTAAGATCAATGATTTTTACATCATMGTGGTTTWCGGTGTCGTGGTGTTTACTTTTYGACGCTGTTCGTGCGCTGAATAAATGCGCTTTTGAAAAACCATCTTTAAACTTGCTCCATGCTTGGTAATTTCTGGGCTTGCTGGAAGAACTTGGTTTTGAACGCCTTTTCAGGTTTTCATGCTCAATTTCAAAAGCTGACCTTACTTSGAGTTTTTCTTTMCTTRTGTCTTCTTGACTGAGATGTAAAGATTCGCAAAAATCTTGAATTTGTGCCTCTTCGAAGTGTTTTTCTTCAGAAATCTTTGGTAACTTGATTTCCATGGCACCTATTCGTGCCATCGTGAAGAAGGTGGGCTTGTAATGTCTTTTGAGTGCTTTTATTTTAAAYGAATTGACACAACCTTGTCAAATGTTTATTATGGCTCGCAGCTGACTTGCAAAGCCCTAATGTTAATAGCCTGTAATTAAATCAAATTAAGTAGCGTCACTTGTAAATAATGATCCCCAAGGGAGTTCTAAACWTTAGTTCCTAGACAATGAAGTAAAACGTTGTGGGTAAACAAACCCTTAGAGTYGTCTTCAATGAGCTGTAAAATAGTCACCAATCTAATAGACACAGGTGGGACTCTAGTGCTTCAATACTGGGATGTCTTTGCTTATAGAGGCAAACGCGTAATGGCGTTTGGTAGCAGTGTTTTTTTTGCCGGGATGAATGGTGCTGTGTCATTCGTGTTGTTCGTACGTTCAGTTGGTCACCAACTTTGTCATCATTCATCAAAGTACGTAGGGCAAAGTTTACTTTAATTAGCTTAMACTTTTCAGGTAGCCGTTGAGTAAGACAAGAACAGTTTTATGATTAAGTCTGAAAAAATTATCAACTCTAAGCCTAAATATCATTTTTTTTTTCTTTGTTTAGTATGACGATTAGATTAAGAAATATAACAACAAAAATAAGTGAAACAACCTACTTTAGTACGTTTTTTCACGTATTTTTTTTTACTTTATTACATTTATCTTTTTACAACACTTTTTCTTTAGAAACACCAACGYAGCKCACACTAGTTTACCGCTAGTYTCCACTATTAAACACTGACTATTGATAATTGTATTACAGCAGGATAAATTTGACATTAAATGCCTCTGAAATCTTATGTGGGCTTCAAAAACCCAATATTTTTAATCCACTAATTGATCTTTAATCATCAAGACGCATGGGAATGCGTCACTTCAAAGTAGTTATGATTTTATTTACAGTATAATTATATATAAATAGTACAGATACTATGAGCTTGGGGTACATAACATCATGAATTTATTTTAAGTGAGTTTGATCATCCTTCAGAGCAAGGACATCGCTATATTATAGATCAAGTTCGTTTAGGAATAAGGAAGGACTCAGTAAAGTTAATGTCAACAATCGCAGGAATATCGCGCTAACTAAAATATTTTGTCGACAGAAAAGAAAGAGTCAGCATATGTAATACATTGTTTTGAAGTTAGATAATAGACCTCTTTAGCTTTTACGTCATGTACCGTATACGCARTGCATTGTAKGATATGTTTGGGACARAACATGSCGGATTTCTTTTGTWWTCTCTWGAAACTGATCCCACAATACATTGAAAATCAAGTAGTGACGTAAAAGGATCAGACGTCTATTTATCTGAACATCTATTGCAAACTCTGTCGAATGATTTAATTAARGATTTCATCCTCAAATCTAATCTCCGAAGCTGTTGTTTTGCACTGTTAGACTACAGGGGYCGGTTGCACTTAGGATGGATAAAGTTATCTACCTGTGAAAGTCATCCACTCAATATATTTTGTGAATCAGGCTGGCTTATGTTTAACAATTAGACCTCGAGGTCGAGTGGACTACGAGCTAATAGCCCATGAGGCTAAAGTAACATCTAAACGACTGTGATTCAAGATTAATAAATATTTGCAATAGTGCATCAAGCCTGGAATACATTGGTAATAATTCCATGTCTCATCCCGTTCGTTCTCAAACAGCGTTAAGTTACAGTGCAAAACATTAGTAAAAGCTAAATTTGACAACCCATTTTCCAACAATTTCTTTTGATAAAGCTTTAAAGCACCTTACTGGCTGCTTGTTTGCAGTTTTGCTACTTTTTGATGGGGCAACCTCTTTATCTATATGATTATTTTTTATCTTTCTGAGCACTGGAGGATTGACTATGATCTCTGGGAGTCATTTTAACAATAGTGCAGTTTTCGTGAACTAAACAAGAACTTGCATGACTTTAAAACAAGGAAAATAGTATGTCCNTTCTAAGTCCTTCTTCACATAATAGGGTCATGACAGTCTTCTATGTGTATACATCAGTGCCGTGTACAGTCACAACAATATATGGAAGTTGTACGACAGACATGACATCATCCAACGCTCTTTGCTTAGAACTATTCCTGTCATTACATAGCACTCAGAGGGGTTAAAGTACCGACTTCATCGAGGCGAAATGAACGAATATGACCAAGCTCCCTTTTATAAGGGAGTTCCCACTGGTAAATGACCAAACGAGCAATGATGATAATACATAAGTACTAAGTATTCTAACCTTCATCTTCTTTGCTTTCGAAAAGCTCCATTCTCAGTGCTACGGGACCAGACTTGTTTTTGTCCYTCATGGGATGAATTCGTACATATCTTGCTGTAATGGCCGGCGCAAGGTCGTGATAAACAATTGTGTTCCCGTCGGTGTTCCCTTGAAAGACTTGGCCATTGCTGTAATTTATGAATCTGCTTTCATTGCTGTAGGAAAGACTATACTTTTCCGTCGAGAAGAAGTATGAGCTAAAGTTATAAGATTCGCCTTGCGTGGCAATACCAATAATCTGTTGATTAAAAGTAATCAGAACTTTTCAAATGACGTAACAGCCCCTATATTGATGTACAACAAACTAAAGATTTCTCCAGTTCCATCTATTGTTTTGTAAACCAATATGGCTGCCACATATCATTTTGTTTCTTTATTCCACAAGGTTCTCAAGGGATGTTTGGGAACTGAGACCGAAGCCTAAAACATATCTAATAGCTACACAATCACGTTGACGTTGTTCAGTTGTAATAACTAGTCTTAAAAAAAGTGGAAATGTGATATATCCACATGCAAATGCCTAAACACTTTCCAAAAACTTCATCTTAAGGTGCGTACCTCTACAATAAAAAACTGTATGATAGGTAAACCAACTGCAGAGCAATCTCAGGGATCAGTAGAGTCAGTGGGACCTCAAACAAAATGAAAAGGGCCTGGGAATGAGATTTAATGCAGTGTCCATATTAATCTACACACACATGCATGGAATATTACCCTTGCAATCTTTCCCAAATTGATTTGCAACCACTCCGTATTGCACGGTATGTTCTGCCAACACTGTATCCACCAACCGCTAGGACCATTCAGTCTTGCTTTATTAGCGAGATGATTGTTGTCTGTAGCGGTCATATAGTAATCAGAAATGATAGTCTGGTTCTGTATTCCAATGGCTCCTATGGATAGATATCAGCGGATATTCATATACTCTGCGAACAGAGCTACTTTTAATATTCATATGAGCATCATATGCATCGTTGCTATCTCTGCTATCGTGTATCGTCTCGTGGATGAACAACAATTTTACTATTCAATGACGCCAACCGTGGTAAATAAGAGAACACATCACGAGAAACTATCATAATTTGTTAAGCGAGAGAAGACGACATCATCAACAATTCATTGCCATTATGTATGTTTCTTTTTTAATGGCGATAAGAAAACCCTCTACATGCATAAGCAACAAAAACAACATCAACGTCATCAATAATTGCTCAATAGTATCATGATTATAGTTTATGAGGCAACACATTGAAAATCTTTTCACCTTTAAAAAATCGCGTGCATTAAAGGTTGCAAATTTGATGTAAATATGATGTAAGTGTCCAAAATTCTGTAAATTTGATGTAAATGATTTCCATTAAATTTACAGAATTTTGGACACTTACATCATATTTACATCAAGTTTACAACCTTTAAAGCGCGCGATTTTTCCAGTGTTAGCGAATTATATTCATTTAATTGAACAGAATGGATGTTCATGCAACATGGTGATCACTTCGGCGTACACAAGTTGGACTTGCTGCGTAAAACGAGTAACAAGGAGGAATTTTTTGTCAAAAATTGCATAATTTTTTGCGAGTCTGTGAACAATTTGAATGGTGTGAATGTTGTGTCTACCTACCTGGCCTGATTGTTGGGAGAGTAGCACTTGAATTTGTGGACTGAATAGTATTGGCACTAGTTGTCGGAGTAGTACTGGCACTAGTTGTCGGAGTAGTATTGGTACTAGTTGTCGGAGTAGTACTGGTACTTGTCTTCTGAGTAGTTCTGGTACTAGTGGTCGGAGTAGTACTGGTACTAGCGGTTGTTCCTGGACTGGTTGCAGTTTGACTCATACTGGTACTTGTAATTTCAGATTTCTTTGGCCTCTTTGAACGAATTCAAGAAATATGTATGCATGAAAATAATCCAGTATGGAGGTTACTATCATCCATTATAGCACTATTAGTATAGGTAATAAGTTGTTTTCGAGTTCAATTTGGAATTAATTTGCACGAGTTTTTGTTTTTCAATAAGGGCATGATTGCATGAGGCCGTAGGCCGAACGCAATTTGGCTCTTTGAAAAACAAACGAGTGCAAATTAATCCAAATTGAACGAAAAACCATCTTATTACTTATCAATACTATACATGAAAAAAATGAAGACAAAACTGACAAGGCTAGACAAGAAGTCAACGATAAAAACAAACTGTAAGCAAAATGTCATCGATGCATACTAATTCTTCTTTATTTTCTTCTTGACAAACAATTTTTACACTTGTCTTACTATCAAAGCTAGGAAAAAACGTTAGTTTATAGCATATTATAAAACTTTCTTTCGTACAAAAGAAATAAAAGATTGAAGCAAAACAAGTTCAGTTTCAAAACTTGTACTTTTGTCATTTCTACCCAAACCTACCCCTACCCCTACCCCTACCCCTAACCCTAACCCTAACCCTAACCCTAACCCTTTACTCCACTTTACCTCACAAGCAATTTATCTGAATTTGAACAATAAAAACATTGTCAATTAAATAGAAAAATACCTGTTACTGGCTAATGTGAAAAAAAAAGACAGTCTTTGAGCTTTTCTCATGTTGAAACTGTACTGAATTTCATCGAGCTGGACGGGTGAGGAAGGCGAGGCTATTTTTGATGCAAAATCGTTTGGAAATGACAACTAGCAAGCTTGAAACCTCACAAATACAAAATCCTAGTCCAATTCTTCAGTGAGAAAGCTTTTGTTATTTCTTTTAAGCACTTGTTGATAGTTTTTGAGTACTTTTTTCTCTGTTATCGGTGGAAATGTCCGCCATCTTGGATTCTTGGATTCTTCAATTACAAAGAAAGCTTGATCCCTATTGGCTGAAAACATTTCTTTTGTTTCTTATAGCCAATCAAACGCGCAACTTTGTTTGTAATTGCACTGATATTACAGCTTTTTGTACTGCTCATTCTGTTGTAATTGCACTACAGAAACTGTAATTGCACTGAATTAAGAATTAATTGAGATGTTATCAGCCAATCAGAATTGAGTATTTTTTTCATGTATATTATTATGTTTGTAATCATTGCATCGCTAACCTTTATGTCCACATAGACAAAACCTTGAGTGGGTTTAAGGTCGTATACGTGTAAAGAATGATCAGCGTCGTTCAATTCACAAATTTTTGTTGATTCCTCAAAATTGAATGTCAAGCACCTTAAATTGAGGAATTATATAGGTATCTTCAGTATTCAATATATTTTATAAATAGATGTAAATCATTATCAATAAATATATTAATACTAATAAAGTACTTCCCTTGTTTTCTCCATTGCATTTTGCGGTATTTTTTCTTTGATATTGATTAGTACTTCTAATTTTCCTTTGTCTCACGTCTTATTTGACGTTAACCTATCAATATTTGTTTAAAACAAACTTTTTGAATCACCTTACCTCTCGACCATATTGCATTTAAGTCTACAAAGAACCTCCTTTTCAGCATACAACCAGTTGATAACATGTCCGTACAGACGAACGCCTTGTTGTACAACAAATTTGGGTGTATATGCTGGACATTGACCTGCAATTAAAAAAAAAACTTTCAAATTTGTCAAAACATGCGACCAACAATGCCTCCTCCCAACTGACATATTGACCAAGTTTAAAAAAGAGATGTTATTAACTGTATTAATTTACGTTTTATGCTGTGGACTTGTGTCATATTGTCAAGTAAATGCCGAAGGGCTGACATTTACTAGATGTCTCGCGCAAAAGACAGTTTGATTTCAGTTTAAATGCGTTTTTGTTTTTGTAACGTCTCTGTGTTCCCTGAAGATGACCGCTTAGGTCGAAAGCTTGGAATAAATTGTTAAAATTATTCATGGTTGATTAACGAAACTACTTATTGTTATGAAAAATACAATCATCAAAAATCTTTTGAAATTTATTAGATGACCAGATGTTTTATAATTTTATAATACAATGCATAAAAACCTTTTCATTTATTTACTTCCATTGACTGCTGGTAAAAGGAAGGGTGAATAACGTCTTTATCCACCGGATAAATCTTTAACCAAACAAAATCTATTGAGTGAATACTTTATTCACCCTTCTTACAACCGGCTACAGTAATTAATTTGTCAGTCGGTGAATTGACCCTTTCACGGAGAATTTCTTTAGTATTCTGCATTTCATACGGCTACATCTTAGGCTTTTGAATGATTTTCTAATACTTTC